AAATCGAAGTGGATTTACCGATGAAGACTCCATCACAGAAATACGTGTATTTGCAGCTTCCAATACTCCATATTGCTTTCCCTTAGTAGGTACTTCATTTGGAACAAGCGAATTCATTGACAGAGCGATGTAGATGGATGGGGACGGGAATGGGACCTGATGAGATTGCTTCTTTAATCTAAATGGGATTCCCTGAGATGGATTTTCTGATAATGTCTTGTATTTTCTTCGCAAGAATCTAACATAACCAATCAAAGTGATGTAATTGTAAGAAGATAAAAGTCTGAAACACCCATGTTAAAAGAATTTGAGTCAAACAAAATTAAGGGAGTAATACCTGACTTCAGCCAGGAGCTGCAGTTTCTTTAGTCTTGTCTCTTGTAGTTTCTTCTTCTTTGCTTCCGTTTCCTGAAAGTTCATAAACCAAATATTTCTTAACTGGGACAGATCCCTTCATCTATATCCAAAAATTCTGTAAATACTGGCTATATTTCGTTCTCCCAACTAAAAAAAATACTAAAGGAACATAAAGGTATCAACCCAAGATTCTGACAATAACACTTGCAAGAACCAAAGAATCCAGAAAGATCCTTTGGCAAATCTTAGAATCACTATACCTAGATCTTTCAACTAAACGGACTAAAACTATGAAACAAAGAAAAAAAAATGCCTACATCACAAATCAATATAAAATAAAGTCATATAAAATGATGACATACAGGCAAAAATTATAAAAAAAAACAATCTTAAGGAACTAAATCTTGAGATCCACATAGCCAATAAAACAAGAAAAGCCATGGATCTCCAAAACCAGGAAACACGCACAACCTACGATACGAAATACCCTAAATAAAAGATCAATCAGATCCAACAAATCAAATATTTTTATGAAAGAAAAGAAACAGAAAGAGAGAAAGCACATCTCACCTTAAGCAGCTCCATGTAATCTTGCAAGAGGGATTTGTGTTTGAATCTTTGCCTGGCATAATCCCCAAAGGAGGAACAAGAAGTCGATGGAGATGTTTCCTTGGTAATCTTTCTCATCTTCTTCGTCATCCTGACCTCCATCTACAGATGAATCAAAAGAACAAGAGGGAAAGGAGATCAAGAAAAGTGGGATACAAGGCAAGACCCAGAATAGAAACAGGCCTATTCACAAAGAACAGGTCATGAACACAACAGATGGAGAGAGAGGGAGAGAGGTGATGATGGAGAAATAAAGGTGTGTGGAGAGGAAGAGAGAGATGGAAAGTTCCTTCTGTTTTCACCCTCCATGTGGAAGGTCTGACCAAGACAAAACTGAAAGAGTCCGATGCAATTTGGGCACAGGAGAGAAGGCCAGCTTTTCCTTATCCCTTTCTTCTTTGATGAAGGTGAAGGATTTTTCGGGTTGCAGGGGCACATTTCTGGGATGGGATGACGCTGTCGTGAAACACAAGGGTGCCACATTTGAAGACACCCATCTTTTCCTTCCATGTTTGCCTCTTCCCGACAATTAATTTGTGTTCCACTCGAGGCACAGAGATAGATGACGATACACCGAGAGATTGACGGTGAGCAGAGGTCAGCTCGGGTCTCCTTTGGTTTGTTTGTTGGTGGTGAAGGTGGGAGAGGGTGGCGCGTGAGGTGAAGGCACACACCACCCGCCCCCGCGTCCGTTTGACTGGTCGTGGCAAATTGGACAAGGCAACATTCTACTCTTGCAGAGACGTGGTCTCTCCTTTTTATCTTGAGATATAGAACTCCAGGGAATTATATGCTTCAGAATACTCCTGATATATATTTCGGGTGCAGGTCAAGGAGACGATTGGTAATGTATTAGCCACCCACGGAGGAAAGAGACCTTGTGTTCCTGTATGTACCAACGAGTGCCCGTCAAATGCTCGACGTAAAGCACAGCATACAATGAGATGATTATTCAAATAGGAAAATTTCAAGTAAGAATATTCAAATAGGAAATAGAGGGTACTGATCACATTCGATGTTTGCTCTGCCTATTCCATTAAATCAACAAAGGATCTGTACGAGAGCAAAGAGTATCAAATGCCTTGCAACAAGAAAATCTCTATGGATTATGTGTGACCTCAGTATAAGTGTGCGTTAGTATTATCATAATCTCAATGGCCTTCCAGCTTCAGACTTGCTACTCTGATGCATCAGACCTTGAAACCCTCGGCACGAAGGCATCGTAAATGAGCTTGGATCCATTTCTCACAAGCAGCCTCTCCATGCTCTACGATGCATTCATCTCTCAGCCTCTTTGTGTCTGGGCAGGCGCAACAGATCTTCTTCTTTGGTTTTGAATCAGGTGTTGGCCCTGCTGCAGCAAGAACTTGACTGGTCGCAGAAGGATCTGGAGACTTTGCTTGTAAAGGCATTCCAACTGTATTACCCATCGACTCCAAATTGTAGAGAAACAAAAGTACCTGAAACCCTTAAAGAAACAACAATTATTTTTGGCAACAGCAACTGTTGGTACAACAAGGTTATATCTCATAAACTATCAATACATGCATATATGTTCCAGGAAAACATTAAACGGACTACCACTTGAGTTGTCTATGTAACGACTTTTGTCTGTCCAATGTGGTACGTAGTCGTAATGAAATGTTGATTTATGTTCTTGGTAAACATCAAACAAACTAAAAGAATAGCTTCTAGTGACCTGGGTGGCACACCCATTTGATACGACGTTTATCGTCGCCTTGCCATATATTATTCGTGATCAAAAAATGAATGTTCTAAAAGATCACAAAATGAACAAAAAGATGCAGAGACAGGCTAAAGGTTTAATAGCTCATTAAAGACCAGATATGCATCTCCAGCATTACATTAGATGCCTTCTTCCAGGAAAACAAAAGCCAAGTTATCTATGCTGTTAAAACATGACATGTACAGAATGCATCCAGGAAGAAAGCATATTATCTTCCAAACGAAGGGCATCACTCTGTCACCACATTTCCAATGACCATGAAATGCAGCTGCAACTATTTTAAAAATGATATTTTACCTATATCCTCCTGTGTTAATTGATATATCAATAGTGTAAAAATACACTAGGAGAAGACGAGAAATCAAATAACAGGACTCAAAAGCACTATCCAATTAAATCCTGGAATGATTGAAGTCATTTAACCACAGGATCTCAGGGAAACAGTGAAAGCACTTCAAGAAAAGTTCCAATGCCAGTATCAATGCAACATAATACATATCCCACTTGTTCAAAAGATAACATAAATTTTCATTTCAGCCTCAAAACTTCGAGCTTCTTTGAAGCCAACAGTTATTTTAGCATAGAACTACTTGGAACAAGCCATCCATACCAATTGTATTCTATTTTCAATAGCTCTTATAAAATCTGGAAATAAAAACAAGCACACTTATAGTACGTCAACAACTTGTCTATGCATCAGCCAACATCGATAGATACAACTGTAGTATTCAAATCTAAACATGGTTAAGCGCAAGTGTGTTGTCAACGTAATTGCATGTATTAATGTATAGCTATAATTATGTAGAGACTATGTATGTGTGCATAACTTTCCCATGCTACAAAATAGGGATTAAGACATGATCCGCCAATGTTTATTATGTTTGTCTTTTGGGGTAAGCTACACAATACTCATACTTCAAATTTAGGGAAAACTTTCACCGAGTTCCTAAATTCCAATTTTTTCACCAACTGACACATTCAAGATTAATTAACATTCCAGTTGAATCCTATCATAAACTTTCCTTCGGAGATCTTGACGGAAAAGGATTTGACTTAAACGTCAGTGCGAATATTGTCCAAATTGCGTAGTATGGTTCACGACCAAGTTAGCGAACGTCGGATAAGATTTGCCAACCAGTACAAGTATGTCAAACAACTTTCCTCGCTATCATGTAAGCAATATGCAGTCAAGTCAGCTCTCTAGGAGGAGACGATCAGCAAAAGTTGATCTTTAGAGACCCAACTCAAGTTCTCCAGAATTCAGGGACGCGTCATCGTGCACTCGTTTATTTTGCAAGCAAATGTACTCTGGCGACTCAGATGTAAATCTTGAACCACAGGTTCCATCGCACTCAAGTTGATGCGAATGTATTGTTGGTCAGATACATCCTTCATCGCCCATAACTCAAGCACACGATCCAAATAACTAAGTGGAAGGTCAAGGGAAACGTTTAGACCAAGAACATTAATGAAGACCAAAAAATATACGCGAAACAAACTTTCATCAACCTAGTTATTTCCCCCAGGATCAACATTCCCATTCTAATCCATACAAAAATTAAGAAGGGAAATCTAGTTCCCTGCAATTCCTAGCAGAAACTATACAAGCAAAGGTGATTTCTGCCCACATGACCCTTTTCTTTCTCCATCCAACAAAGGACACCGCAACTTTCAGATAAGAAAGAAACGACCTAAGGATCTACGAAAGCAGTAACAAAACCAGGGAAAGAATTCTAAAATCAAAGCGAACTAAAATGGACGAAATCATACCTTCAGAGCCTCCCGTCGCCGCCTTTGGGTTCTTCTTCTCGAGCCTTCTCGGGGTATTTAAGACGATGCACCTTCTCATCCCAACCGTTTATCCAAGTCAACTGACGAATCCATTTTGATCGTGGAAGGGGTGATTGACTTGCGAGAAAACCAGGATCCGATTCAATGAACCGGTTTCGAACCGGGCCTTCGGGCACTGGTCCAATGGACCGCGGATTTATTGAAGATTATTAAGCATTTGAATGTTAGATATCAACAACTATAAAAAATAGGTGAAAACACACACACCTAAATTCAATTTGAGAGGGATTCAATTCAAGTCTGAATACCTGAACTGTTAGAATGAGCTGCTACAATGTTTCCCATCACAATGCTCGCCAATTAGTAATTTAATCAAGGGTTTTATCTTCTATAAAAAATCAGCCCTAAAATTTCATTATAATAGAATTTTTGGCAAGATTCTGGCAACCATCAGACAGCTCCACCAATGTCTATGAAAACAAGAGGCAATTGCTAAGACTTGTAAACAAGCCATTTTATTCATTGGTTCTTGATATCATGAAAAGATAAGTGAGGCATAAGACAGCACTGAGTACACTCATTATTAGCTATAGCACAACTCAGAAAAGCACGAAAGTTCTATCACTCCCTTTCCTTCCATTTCTTATCCAGCCAACCAGATTTAACAGTGTGCCAATATCATATGCCCCTGGCGACTTCATTGTGTCATTACTCGAATTCTCTTAGGAGTTCTTCATAACCCATTCGACCAAAGTAGAGACACCAAATCCAGTCGCAGCACGTTTCTTGTCGTTCCACACAGGTCCAGCCATGTCGATATGAAGCCATTGGACCTTCTCATTGACAAACTGCAGCAAAATAACGATGTCAGTTTCAGACTGTTCATCATATCATTATCGTACTTCGATATTACCAAAACATGTACGGGCTTAAATATTAAACCAAGGCATGAAGATTCAGAACATGCTTCTCTATGAAGGTGCTAGTGTCGTAGTCAATAGTCCACGCGGTCCTGATTCCACGACATGAGTCAGTTCTTTGGTATCTCACTTCAAAAACAATGTTTCCTTTTTATTCATATTCTGTGAGATAGTATATTTCACATTTCAACAAGCTCATATATGGTTGCATAAGAATACAAGGAACATCATAACCAGGCAATTCCTTCTCACTTCCAGGACCTCTTCATAATTCTTGATCCAAACATTTAGTAAGGCAATTCCAAGCAACTAAACCTATGAAGTTTTATAACACAGGAAAATAGAATGAGCTTAACCACTGTTAAAAGTAAGTTCATAACTAGAATTTGTCTGAACATCTAATTCGATGGTTTTGTATCCTGATTTTGTGGTCAGTCTAAAATCAAGTACTAATAGTCCAAGCATCTTGTGAAGTAGTTTTATATCCATCCTTACAGAATCCAGGACTGCCATAAATAAGCAAAGAGAAAACTAAATGATTACTTTCATTCTAACAAGGCAGTGCATGATTTAAATAACTTATAATATTACCTAAATGAAGCACAGCCAGAACAGCATTAAGAAAAAAGAAAATTGTAGAATTGTTGTGTCCATCTTGATGTAATAATGTAGAACCATATAATAACTTTTGCTTCCTGACATAATCAATAACCAAAACTCAAATGCCCCATGACCTTGAAATTCATTGGCCCCATTGTATATCAGTGATGTTCACATTTTATTTTTTGATTTGCATGTAATTAGGGGGTTAGGGGGTAAAGAAATTATCCTCCACTGTCAGCATTATCCTCCATGTTCAACTTCCATATTATGAGTGGAGCTTGGTGTTGGAGGTTTCAAAAGAATGGTTCATTAAAAAAGAAAAAGTGAATGATTAGGAAACATGTAACTTTGAAAAAGAAAACACCAGGCTTGCATTTGATTATGGGTTAAGGAGTTTCAACCTGATAGTTATTAGTTTAACCTGCCAAATGCTCGTAAGTTAATAAGTTTTAAATAAACCGAATGAACTGAGTTTAACCTAATCGGAGATTAAATTATGGGTTAAATAACCCACTCTCGACCTAGGTAATTGACCCTTTCACAACCAAAGAAAAAAGGTGTAAGACAATTTAACAAGGCTACTTTTAATTCCTAACCAAACACAGCCCAGAACCCTATTCCCTCAGCAAAACTTTGATCTATAACATATGTTCATTCATTGCTAGCTATAATAAAGGCTTAATTCTTAAAATTTTATTATCAGGTAGCATAAAGGAAAAAAAAGGTATTTTAGTTTAAACCTGTTTCAGGAAGAGAGCAGCTGTAATAGATCCACCTTGACGGCCTCCAGTGTTCACCATATCAGCAACACCTGATTTCATCGACTCCCAGTAGCTTTCTTCCAGAGGCATCCTCCAAAACTTCTCTCCTGTAACCTCAGAAGCTGTGACAATCTCCTTGGCTAGATCATCACTAGGGGAATAAAACCCTGTAAAAGTAAAGATCACTTTATTGGCTTCAGATTGAAGAACACAAGAAATGTCAGACCACTAACTGATGCCCATTGACGAACTAAAACATAGTTAGACAAACATATTTCTATTTTTCCATGTGGAATAACTTGGTTCATGAAATTGAAGAATATTATAGCAAAATGAATAACCACGTGCAACCATGAGCTGTATCCTACTCCTACAAGCCTGTACCAAGCAGGTTAACTTGTAAAATTCCTTGTTAAAGAACAGAAAAGTTTGTTAAAGTCCTAAAAGCCAGTAGGAAACAACTCTTAAGTAACTACAGATATTTACATCCTTCCTTTGATTTCCGACCAATATGACCAATCAAAGTATCAAACATACATTCTAAAGCATAATACATGAAGAAAGTGAAGTCCAGAATGTGGCAATTTGAAATAGCCACCACAGAAGCATAAAGCAAAAATTCTTGAATTAAGAAAAAAAAGGAAAATGCATAGTGTATGTATTAATTTGCTCCCTCAAATAGAATAACAAATAAATGCATTTTTCAAATGGCTTTCTGCTTTATGTTCTTTGCAGTGCCAGCTACAGTAGAGTTGTACCAAGTCGATTTAATTAACCATTTCATGATAACAACTACCAAGAAACTTAATTCATAGAGAAATTGCATTCTCAGGCATTGGATTGCGATCATCGAGGTTCTTTACCTGCAATGCTGGGCCCAAGGGCAACTATACAAGCGCCAGTAAGTGTTGCCAGATCAACCACCTGTGTTAAAGTTATTCAGAGTCAAAGAATTAGGAGTTACTTGGTGCAATGCCTCTAAAAGGAAGTGCCAGATATTAGTCAGAGTTATAAAGGACAAACATTCTACCACAGTTTTCTTTATAATTATAGGAACTAATGTAAAATTCCATTCATATTAATGAATCATTGTACTCATCTCTTCCATGTGATGCTTGAAAGAAACATGACCACAAAGAATAGGTTGAAAACTTTGATATCAATTCATCTTGCAAATATGACAGGCTTGGTGGCATCTGTATGAATGGCTATATGACTTATCTGCAATCATATTTCCAGAAGCTGCACACTTCAATTACATGTATGACCATCCACATGGAGATGTATATTCATCTTGGACTGATGATACATAATTAGTTCATTCAATCTAGCTATATTAAAAACCTAGCAGAAAATATATGCAATGTCTCAACCTCAGAATGCTATAGAATCAATCATTCTCTCAGCTCAAGCAGCTCATCTATAATTAATTATAATAAAATGAAAATAAAAACCAACCACCAAAAGTGCTTGAAACATCCTCCAGTTAAAGACAGAAGATACTGCCATGAAAAAGTAAAACCAATATATTTTCACAATACCTTATCAATGCCTTGGTTACAAGCATAAACCAAAGCATCTGCAAGCGTAAGCCTTCCCTCTGCATCAGTGTTATTGACCTGCAAAAGAAAATGGAAGTTGGACTTGACATGTCTGTATGAGATCTTCCACAAGTAGGTAATAGATATGAAATACATGATAGCCAGCATTATATGATGAATTCCTGCACAAAATTTATTTGGTGATGCCAATTTGTTCATAATGATATCCGCTTTGGTTTTAGAACAGATGTACCTCTAGTATCTTCAAGAACATCACTAGATATCACAAGAAGCATTTTTATGTCCAAATGCACAATTGGAAAAAAGTGGATGTGGTTTATCACAAACACACTAGTAGCAGAAACTAATTAAAATTTTTGAGTTATCAGCAAGACTAGATAATCTAGCAAAGCAACAGGAGTCCATAGCCCAAAGGTGTGCACCCTGGATATAATTAACATCATAGTAGGTACTAGGTAGTAAGTAGTGTGAAGGATTTCTAATAACATAGGACTAAATTCAACCACTTGCAGAAATTGGACAAACAGGACACTTAAACTACTAATGAAACATGATGCTACATAAAAAAATGGGGCATAACGAAGAAATCACTTGAAATTATATAAGAGTCTTCTATACAAACATTAATGTACTCTGTAAAAAATATTCCAGGTCTTTTCTATTCATTAGAGAGGATTTACAACTAGCCACATTTTATTAGCAAGGCATAGACTGTTATAGAACATCTAGCTGAAAGGTAGAGAAATATGCCCTTTTGGTTGCAATTCAAGCATGCAGTTAGAAAGAATGCCTGATATTCCCTTAAAATGAGTTCACAATAAAAGGGAAACAACAAAAGCACTACTAAGCCAGATAGAAACTGAATCAAACAGCAAAACTATAATATTTTGATCGAACCAAACTACATAATCATTTGCATCTAAAGAGTCCCAATTGATGTATATCCAAGTAACTCATTATTCCAAGGGCCATAAATTATACCTCAATGGTTTTCCCATTAGAAGCAGTGACTATATCACCTGGTCTCATGCCTGTGCCACTGATCATATTTTCACAAGCAGCAGATATGAAATGAACCTGGAAACAAAAATCCTGGTCTCAAAAACAAGATATTGCTTATGTCTAAAATATTAACATAACTATGGACTTATTCCTTTTCACCAGATGCACAAAAGTAATCAACTTACTTCTACCCCTGGAGGTTTAATTTGGGCTAAGGATTTTGCTGCACCAAAAGCAGCTGCAGCACCTCCCATATCAACTTTCATGGTCTCGATTGAACATCCAGGGCCAGTCTTTATGTTGTAACCACCACTATGCAGATAAATGGAATTAAGTCAAACAATTTATTCTGTTTCAGAATTCAAACAATGCTTTTTAGCATATGGTTTGAATACATGATACCTAATGGACAAACCAATTAGTTCTAAAACAAACTCTTACTCAATATAAATGAGACAACTAACAATGGACAACATAGATAATAGGATGAGAAATACATGTTTTAGACACAAATATAGGCATTGTAAGAGAAGAATCAACAGAAGGATTTATTTTAAAATTAAATAAATGGCTAAATTCTACCTCTCTATAAAATAACATGTACCTGTCAAATGTTAAACCCTTCCCAACAATTGCCAATTTTCTCTTCACATCACCATTAGGAGGTTTATAGCATAAGTGGATGAAATGTGGGGGGTTTGAAGAAGCAGCTGCAACACCTAAATATGATCCCATCTTCAACTCTTTGCACTGTTCTGCATCTAATATCGTTGCAGTAAGAACATCACTGTATAATGTAGCTATTTTTGAAGCTTCTTCTGCCAGTGCACCTGACAATCAGGAAAAGTCACTAATTGTAACTCAGTCCCTTCCATATCCAGTAAAGTTGGAGGGCATCACAAGGAGAAGAAAGATGAATCACACTTCTTGATGTTGTAACATCATTTCTCACTAACCAGGTGTAAGCACATTTGCTGGTGCATTTACAAGCTCTTTTCCAAAAATCACTCCAGAGCAGACATCAGTTGCATACTTGAGTTTCTGGTCCACCACTGTTCCTGAACCAAAACCAATGACGTCCACTGTTTTAAGCAGTGGCTTTTTGGAATCTGACCTAAACCTGTTGTCTTCATATACTCCTAGTATAGTTCCTACACACAAACAAAAAGAAGAAGAAGAAAAGAAAAACATAGAAGGTTAAAAGTGATAAAGAATCTGATCAGGCTATCTCCAACAATTACTTAAAAATTCTTCTGATTTCTATTCCACCAGTTAGCTCCCCAGTGATGTTGAACCCTCTCTCTTTACATACAGCACAAAAAGACAACTCAAAACACTGTAGTTCAAACCAACAGAAAAGCTACCAGATGCAATCGCTGAAGCAGCATTTATTTTCAATTCTTCTGATATCCCATCCGAGGATGCAAGACAAACAGCCACACTATTTGCTTGGGCAGCCTTTGCAACTCCTGCAACAGCTTCCCCAATGCCTCGGTATGCAGCTGCTGTGGATGAGGAAGACCCAAGCCCAACTAATCCTAGCCTTTTAAAACCCAGCCCAGGTAGCCTGAGAAATGTAGACTGGCCAGCTTTCCCAGTGAAATCCTCCTCTGTAACAGCTTCTGCCAAAAGTCCACCAATCTTGTCATCAAGCCTTTTCAAGAATACATTCTGAAATTTCGAATCTGAGTCCTTCTTCGTATCTTTTTCTGATACAGCCACAGCAAGTAAATCTCCTTTCCATTCTGAAAAATCCATCTCCTTCACGGTGAATGCAATCTATAAAGAGGGATGGAAAAAGGCAAGTAGTGAGATAATTGATGGTGATTATATAAAGTCTGAACCTGTTGACATAAAACTGCTACAAGGTTTATGTTCAGTCTTTTGCATAATTACCATTAGTATGTCATGACTGATTTTAGAATAAAATGCGAGAAAAGGCAATAACAAATATATAACCATGAAAGCCTTGTTGCTGGAATGGGAATGATAAAAGCTGAACAAAAGGAAATGGCAGAAGTAAATAAAATGTCTTGGGAGGAAGGCAGATATCTAAAGTCAGTATGTCATGACATGGTTAGTAACAAGAAAAAAGGGCACTTATTCAGTTAGAGAATAAGCCCATATGGAAACGGCCACCAAGTTAACTTCTTGTCATGATATACATGAAATTTTATTAGTCAATATGGGATCAGTTCAAGTTTATGGTCCGTTAAGGAAAACTTAAGTTGTAATTGTCATTTGTTTAAAAACAATAAGAACATAAAAAGGCAGCATGATCAGCATGGTATTGATTCAATTTACAAAATTCAGTCATGGCAGAACACAATATGATAAGTTGCATACACACAACAGTCACACTGATGGGCTTCCTAGCAAGTTGAAATACACACAAACAGGAACCCTGCCACATTTATGTTTTTCAGTTATTCAGCAAGAATTAAATGGACCTTTGCGTCCATTTTTATTGATAATGCACTGAAGAAACATAAAGTGATAATTTTTGCTTTTGAGGTTGTAAATAATCCATCACAACATGGCAATTGTGGGATAATATGACCAGAAATGGGAGAAATCAGAAGAAAGTAATCTTGAGTTGCATAAATATTAAATACCCAACACATATCCTTTAGGTCACTGGATAAAGTTAAAACTGTAATCATCGATAATTTTTTTCCTTAACATAAATTAATTACTATAAATGATATATTACTTTATTATTAACTTCTATATTTGTATATTATAGTTAAGGAAATGATTAGATTTGGTTTCCTTAATCATATGGATAAGTTAAGAATTCTATTAATCAATTAAATTATTAATTAATTTATTTCCTAATGAGTGATTTGATATTTAGGAAGTAAATAGTTTACATTCCATTTTTGCGTGTGAACTATCAGAAATAAATATTATATTACTTTTTTGTGTGTGAAAGCAAATGTAAAATAAATTAAAAATAAAAATTAAATTATTACTTATCTTTCGGGGAGATCTCATCTTCTCCTATATAAAGGGACTATTCATCCCTCATTCTCTACTAGGCCTAACAATAAAAGGATTGAGGAGATGACTTTCTGCGGAGATGATATCAAGGAAGGGATAATCGAAAAGAGGTAGTATCCTTTCTTTTTAATTAGTTTTGATTTGTGTTTTGAAATCTTAACATTGAGATTGTTATAATTTTATAATGAATAATGATGTTTTAATTTCGAAATTTCATGATTTTTGAATAATAATAATTGATTTGTGATGTTAGACTAATTATTTGATTTGTATTGATCTTTTAAGCTTAAGTGAATTTTAATATTGATTTAATTATTAAAATTCTTATTTAGTATAATAGTTCTAATTTATTTAATTAGTTATATCTATATTTCAAGAATTATGTGTGAATTTCTGTAATGTAATTAGTTTTAAATTTTAGATCATGAATTTAAAATTTTAATTAATATATTTGAATAATTCTTTAATAATTTTAAATATTAAAATCTAATTTGATAAGAGGAGTCTAATTGGGGTCTGACTTGAGTCAAGTTGATCGATCAGATCGAATCAACTCAGACCATGTGATCATGTACAACCTAGCTTATGTGACTAAGTACAACCTAGCCCATGTGATCAGGCATGACCCAACCCATGTGGCTAGGTACGATCTAATCCATATGGCCATGTATGACCCAGCCCATGCGGTAAGGTACGACTCAACCATGTGGTTAGGCATGGACCAGCTCATGTGGCTAGATACAATCCAATCTATGTGGCCATGTATAACCCAACTCATATGGTAAGGTACGACTCAACCATGTGGCTAAGCATGGGCCAGCTTATGTGGCTAGGTACAACTCAGTCTATGTGGTCAGATACGACCCCAACTCATGTGTCTATGATCAATTCGTGAGCCAAGCATGGCTTAGTTCAATGGTAAGGCTTAGCCCAACTTATAAGTGAGGCTTAGCCTAGTCCATGAAGTTAAGTCTGCCCAGCTACGTGATTGATATTAGACATATCATCGCTCCTTTTATATAGCCCGTCGTACCTCAACTCAACCTAGTATTTGGAACAAGTATATGCAATGTATATGACCCGCCCAAGACTCAGGTGGGTTGGTTCGGTTTGGGTTAGTACTATACGACATAGTCCAATCTCCTTCTCTATTAGTTTGAGCTCATTAATTGACGAAATCAAACAGGTTTGATCAGTTAAAGCTGATTTAGGGTGATTCCAAACTAACTTGACTGGTTCAAACCTATTTGACCTAATCAAGATCAATCAAATCTAAATTAGACCGGTTTAGGGTGATTCCAAACTGGTTCCATAAGGATTTGGTATTGGTTCCGTTAGATCATAATCGAATTGAGTTTGGTTTAAGTCAATTGAGCTATTCCAATTAGGGTTTTGATTGATTGAGGACTATTAAGATATTGATATTTAGTGCTTTTATGATATGATGAATTTAAAGGTTTTATCTGAAGATATCATTTGAAAATGATTATTGGTTTTCTATGTTTATGATATTGATATGATAAGTATCATGTAGTAGATGTGACTAGACTAGTAGTTCACATTGGGAGTGCAACCTGTGAAAGGAGCTACGGGCCCATCATAATGCGGAGCCACCAATGAACATAGTCTAGTAGATTTACGTCAAGTATAGTCTCTCATAATATTTAATCATATTGATTTCTTGATGTATGCATGAGTGATTGAATGAGTGTAAATGAATGATCATGGATGTTTATGTATCCCTGCCGAGGGCAGGTATGACGATTCCCTTCGGGGATTAGCGGGCCGTCAGACGTGATGGTTAGACGGTTCCTCCATCCGCTGTTGGGAGGAACATGTCCCCACTTGGGCGGGTGAGGGATACCACTCCATCCGCTGTTGGGAGTGCGATATGGATTATCTCCATCCGCTGTTGGGAGGAATCCATCCCGTGAAATATGCCTCTCCATCCGCTGTTGGGAGAGCGCACCATTGGGTGATGTACGCCTTTGTTATTATGTATGTGTTGTATGTGGCTAATGCATGATTTTGTTTATTATGCAAGAAATTATCATCATTTTTCTAATGCATAAGTTTTATGATGAATAGATATATTTTCATATTGAATTATTGATATTTGTTTATATTTCATGAATATTGAAGATTATTTTTGTGACTTTTCTGAGGTTCCTACCAGCATGTGTGGTTGCTGATGTGTTTTTATTTTATATTTATTTTCAGAGTAATCGACTATTGTGTAATAGATATGAAGCTTGGGTGGA